GTACCCACCACCTTTATTCATAAAATCGGGTTCCTATTTTGGACCATTGTTTTGACCTCACCCCTAATGTGCGATAATGTAGGCCTCAATCCTTTCTTCCTTCCCCTCGCTCTGACAGCTGATAAGATAACTCTGTTTTGAACATTAAAATACTATCATCTCGCACAGGACAATAGGATTTATTACAGTTTTAGACTAAAGAATACATATTTCTAGAACGCGCTAAAAATGTCAGTTAACTACTTATCTATCTATCATTCGACTGACCTTGAGGCGTCTTGTCTTAAGGACAGCTGGTAAAGTCTTGAGAATAGACCTTTATGCTGATACGGCAGCCATCTTAAATTATGGGATGCCCAGGGAGCAAACTTTGAAATATTTGTAAAGTATAAAGTGGCGAAATTACTGACTTTTTCAAATGATTTCGTGCTCTGGTGTCTTACATATTGCTCCAACTCTACCAGCAAATTCAATTGGTTTTAGATGTGTTTCACATTGGATAACTTAAAGTTATATACCCTGACAGCTGTGTTGCCTTTACATTTCCAATATTTGTTCTCTCGGTATCCCATAATCTCTTAGTTAAAGCACTGAATAGAATTCAAGATGGCGGCCGATCTAGTTCTTAGCCTTTGTTCAATTGAATGGTATCTTTGCGTTTTCCATAGTCGCTCTGTAGTTAGGGCGTGGCTGTTGGAAGGGTACTAAGATCTATATATTTCATTTCGGTTGAGTGATACCTAAGATTTTCACTTCTTCACATTTTTTCCGCTTTATTTATTTTCCACTTTATATATTTTCATTCAAAATTACCGAAGTGGCTTTTAACCTGTTTTTTAGAATTGTTCTACTTGACAAGGTTCTATTAACGTGTATTCATAGCCAATCTCTTCCGCCTCCTCTCATCAGATAGGACAGCTAGCAATATTTTATTATGCTTGACGAGTGTATACCCATTCAAAGGATCTGGTTTCACTGCTGCTGTTGTTGAAATCGACTCTCGTTTCTCCTAGCAGGACATATACCCCACTTTTAGGTATTTTTGTCCTATAAAGTTCTAAAACCGCAATTTTTCCATCTCTATTGATTTTTTGTTTAAACAAAAGACATTTGAATAAAAAATAACGTATTGACTCTATTTTGATTTCAGTGGTTTGATTTTTTAATTCAATGTAATCTCATTCTCAATTAAGTGTTCATTCTCATAGGAGTATGACATTGACTTTATCGAATGTTAGATTTCCCCGCGTTTGGTAAGTGATCTTCACTGAATCATAGCTAACCACCTATAGTTTTCGTCTAATATTTTGACAAGCAGCCATTTCTAAAGGTTGTGCCAAAAGAGCCCCGGGGTCGAATTGTAAGGATATCAAACCAAATTCCTTGGCTAGCGATTACCGTATGGCTCTTATTTTATATCCCTGTTGTATGTCCTTGGAAGGAAAGTCTTAAACATGGGTCTGCAAGAAAAGCCCAATAATCACTTGATATGCGCGATTGCTTCCTTCGCGGTGTTGTGCTGTGTTTGTATTGTTATTAGCTGTATAGGATTCGTAAGATTGGAATTCCAGCTGGGACAACAGGAAAGAAAGATCGTCGCTCTTGAGAAAGAGATTCAAAATTGTAGGAAACTCCAAGAAACAGATGGTGAGTTAACAACATCCTGCACCGTAATGGTATCTATTTAGGATTGAAATATCGAAATCTATTCCCAAAACCCATTTTGGCAGTTACTTCCTTAATATATAGGAGTGTACAAGACTCTCGGTTAACAAACAGTTGATGTACGAAGGTTTTTCCTCATAGAGTATTCAGCTTTGTATTAGTGTCGGAGTTCATTACTTGAATCAGTTTATTGTTTTGGACCATCAGCAGATTATGTAAGATTCAAGTTACAACACTAGCTGACTGTCGAATAACTAGACTATGTTAAGAAAACTTGGTAAACTTAAGGGAATTGTAACTTCGATTGAACTTATCTCGATTTGATGGTAGTCTTCAGTAATGTCGTGCTGGTTTATATGGCGGAAATGTTGTCTTTATTTGCAGTTGGTCAACAATTTTATTGGACCACAATATCCGGCTTATAAAGCTGTGCTTTTAACTTGTAGTTGCGTTCAAGTTGCTTTTAAGAGTGCCTTTTTAATGTCATCTTGTTATCCATCTGCCAGCAAGACCTGACGGCAAGACATTTTGATACTTCCTTCGGTCCAGCAAAAACATTTTCCTTCTTAACGAAATGTGATAATCGCTTCTTTTCAAAACTTTATGGATGAAGTGACAGGACTAGTCCATATAAGACCCCAATTTGCGGGTGGCGAATTTCACTTTCCTGAAAAGGTTCGGTTTTGCGATCAGTTTTATGCACAGGTTCAAAGCAGCATATAATGAGTTCATATGATGCACCATGGACACTGTTCGCAAAATAGCAGGAAAACGTATGTTTCTTCGATGACACGAAAGCTTTTTTCAGTAGAAAACGTGTTTTCTGGATTCCCATAATCCGGACATCTGGTCATCATATGAGTTACCATTCTCATTTTCAGGACGTTTGTCAAGTACAAGAAGGTACCGTCGAGGTATTCCTCCATCAAAGAACGACAACATCTGTCTCCAGTGCGTCAAACCTTGGATTCGAGAAGAAGTTGCCAGCTCTGTGTCCTACGCTGTAGAAGCATATTGCCGCCCACAAAACAAACTTTGCATTCGAGGCCCTCCCGGTCCTCCTGGTCCTCCTGGTCCTAAAGGAGAGAAAGGAGCACCTGGTAGAAACAGCAACTCTAACATGAAAAGTGATGACAGAAAACAAGGCCGTATACCCAGTGTTATAACTCCACCGAAAGAAGAAAGAACTGGGTCTATTAATGCTCCTGGAATCCGAGTGGATCCTTCTTTATTAACAGTCAATGAAAAGTCCCATGCGACCTTTACCTGCTCAAGCACCAATTCTGGAAAAGCTACGATAGTTTGGGACAAAGTTGGTGGGTTCCCAAAAGGAGATAAACTGATTGAGATTAAAGATGGGAAGCTAAAGTTGATGAATGTGAAACAGAATGATGAAGGTTCTTACATGTGTACTGTGGAAAGTCCTGCAGGATTATCACGAGCCGTGGTTACTCTAAAAGTGAGAAGTAAGTGACGTTTGTATCATCARCAACGTAACGGCCATATTGGGTAAACAATGTTATCCAAGATGGCGGCGATGAGGTCATAAAAATCAACCTATTCAGGGCGCGTACTTATAGCGTTTTATCTTCCGAAAAGCTTGAATTATTTTTGCTTGATCTGGCATCTGTAGCACGACCTTTTGCCATAAGTATAGTGATCATTTCAATAATGTCATCTTATATTCTGGTCACCTGTTCAATACATTATATACATTCTAACGAGTTTTTAAATCGTCTCCACACATTTGTATCGTCGTTTAGTCTCAAGATGTGCCTTGCAATGTGTGCTGCATGGGGACCGTTAGCATGACCTGAATGCTAGGGCTAAGTATTTTGTGGTTGGTGTCCCCGGGGAAAGTAATATTGGGTAAACAATGTTATCCAAGATGGCAGGAACAATGTCATAAAAAGCAACTGCTTCAACTGGGTGCCTATCTATAGTGTATTGTCTTCCCGCGAGGGAAATAATTTTTGTCTAGCACGGTTATATCACTGTATAGTGATAATTTCAATAATGCCACGTTACATTCTGGTCCTCTGCAAAATGCATTACGTTCTTAATGAGTTTTTAAATCGTCTCCACACATTTGTATCGTCGTTTAGTCTCCAGATGTGCCTTGTAATGTGTGTTGGGGACCGTTAACATGACCTTAATACTAGGCTAAGCATTTTGTGGTTGGTGTCCCCGGGGAAAGTAAACAAAAGGCTTGTCCCTAGCATCAGGGAGAATCACCCTACCTTCATTTAACCAGTAGGTCCAACATCTTACAATAGAACTATTCTCTTTTGTAAAATGCAATCTGTCCAACGAAGCGTGCAATGAAAATGCTCGCATCCCATTCTAATAATTCCTTCGACTTTATCATGATATAAATTCTAATCTGTCATGACTTTGATCAGCCCAGTTATATTGTCGTCCCAACAACATGGCGGCTATGTTTTGTTAGTATTACCTATCCCCATAAGATTAAACACAGTAATGCTAAGGGATGGACCATTAGATAATTGAGAGGGGATTGCAGGAGTTTATGTTGCACGATATTTACTTTTTTGTAACAACACCTACACACAATGTTTCGTTTGCTCGATATTTCTTTACTGGAAGGAGAGGTTTCACGATATTTTTTTCGTAAGTGAAGTGCTTGCTCAATGTTTTTTGGGGGGATTAATGCACCCCCTCTCCCTAATTACCTAATAGTCCGTCCCTAATCGTTTTCGTACTGTCATAGGTAAACCACGTATCTTCATTGGTAAAGGGCCCATTTATGCAGTCAAAGGGGACAACGTGACTCTACCTCGCTGTCGAGGCACAGGCTTCCCAAAACCAGTCGTATCTTGGCTTAAGGTGATGGACAGGATGCCAGAGGGTCGGACTGTTACCTCAGAACAAACCCTTACCTTATTGAAAGTCAAGCGATCTGATTCTGGTATCTACCTGTGCACAGCAACCAATGCATTGGGAAGAGACAGAAAAATAACATATCTAGTCGTGGTGATAAGACCGAGATTCACCGTTAGACCACCAAGGAAAATAAAACGATTTGCAGGCTCAATACTTGAAGTGAACTGCAGTGCAARCGCCAACCCAAAACCAATCATAACATGGGAGAGATGTGGGAATGAACCACTGGACAAGAGGTTCGACGTCCAAACTTCTGGGAAATTACGTATCGATAATTTGAAGACTGCGGATTCTGGAATGTACGCATGCGTGGCTTCGAGTCGACCACTGCTTTCAAAAGCTGCCTTTGAATTAAAAGTCAAATTAGGTTAGTTGGATTTCGTTTTCAGTTTTGGGTGCTCAGAAGTTGGTCGACAGAAAGCGACCTGTGATTCTGCATAAGACGATAATCACAGCTGGAGAGGTGATTATTAGGTTTTCCAAAGTTTTCCAGATCGGAAGTAATACTAAAACGTTTATTTATCTTGAATTTTGACTTTTCTCTGATACTCAAGTCTAAAATTATGCTAAAACAATTATTCCCCTCAGACTCAGTGATTATGGTAATATTTACCTCGCCGCTCGAAGACTGGCTTGGTGAATCGATAATCGTTAATTGTTAAATACAATGCTTTGCCGTGGCACACCATGAAATATGCCATTTGTCACTTGCATTTTCGGCACACTTACGTGGAGGCAGTCGTGCATACTAGAAAATACATACAAATGCCTCAGGGGGTGGGGTGGGTTCGTGGCAGATATCTAATTTTAAAATGTTGTATAATTAATATATTCAACATCTTGACAGGAAATGATGTTACAGTTTCGATGTTTCTTTTCAGCACGTGACTGTTCAGTGTTGTATTCGTCGGGTGTTCGTAAGAATGGAGTTTACAAGATCAAGCCCGATAATAAAGAACCATTCGATGTCTACTGTGACATGACGACCGATGGTGGTGGATGGACGGTTTTCCAGAGAAGGTACGATGGCTCGGTTAACTTCTTCCAAGGATGGAAAGAATACAAAACAGGTTTTGGTAGATTAAGTGGAGAATTCTGGCTGGGGAACACCAAACTCCACAGACTCACTAGTGCCAAGCCGTCTGAACTACGTGTTGACGTGCAGGACTGGGAAGGAAATACTGCTTATGCCAAATATGGGCAATTTACAATAGGCGATGAGAAGGCTTTGTATCGTCTTGATATCAATTCGTACACAGGTACGGCCGGGGACTCGTTGTCATACAGTAACGGCATGCCCTTCACCACGTTAGATAAAGATAATGATATTCATAAGAAAGATAACTGCGCCGTGACCCATATAGGAGCATGGTGGTACAAGAGCTGCCAGGATTCCAATCTGAATGGACAGTTTGTTCGGAGCTCACGCAACCCAAAGGGAATGTTATGGTACTATTGGAAGAACGACGAGTCCACCATCAAGGGATCACAGATGAAACTAAGACCAAAAACTAGTTAGTAAATCACATCGATACTGAAGGAGATGGAATGGAGATTGACTTTAGAGTGTCTATATTATTATCATATATATGTATTACAAATACTAAATAATGAGAAGAACCTAGAGCATCAACTGGGATACCTGTGGTACTGCACTGTACAAGTCAAGCGCTGTGATTGGATACTGCGTTGTATTCGACAAGCGCTGTGATTGGATGATGCGCTTTACTAGACAAGCGCTGTGATTGGATGTTGCGCTCTATTAGAAAACCGCTGCGATTGGATACTGCACAGTATAAGTCTAGCGTTGTGATTAGACAGCCAGTTTTCTCGACTAATTTTAATTGGTCTCAAATAAGATAAGTGATTTGATTTTCTGGCCGCATTATTTCATTAACAATAACGCCAGGATCTAATAAAAATCTGCGGGTTAGCCATGCCCTGATTTAGGATCATCATAGAGCCGGGTTGTTTCCAGAATTGGAGGTTTGTCACGTGACATACAACGAGCAGTGAGATAAATATTACCCATCAGTATTTTATAAATCGTGTGTTAGTTTTCGATTCCCCGGCGTGGGATGCAGTACACAAATACGAATAACTGAGCCTGAATAGTTCGACAATCTTTTGACCATATAACTGTAACTTTACGTCACTATCTAATAATGAAGAATCTGAGCCGCAATAAATTGGACATCAATTTATTGAAAAACCGACAAACATAGTAAAAATTTGATTTATTAGAAGCTAGTGCCCTTTTTTTTTGGCATATTTCATCATTTCTGAATGCACTTGTGTCTGTCTCCGTTCGTTTCATGTACTGTTTAATAAACGAGCAGGAGTGTTTTATCGGGTATAAAACACGAGGCGTAGCCGAGTGGTTTTAGACCCGATAAAACACGATCTGCGAGTTTATTAAACGGCTTAAGAAATTCCTGATGTATGTTCTCATATTGTACCGAATTCTTTACGAAATGAACCAAGTTTGATAGAGAAAATCAAAAAAGTTAAAGTTTATGCAAATGAAGACGAATCTATATCAGATATAAAACCTCCTTCATGGTCATGATTTCTATTGTGTTTCCTTCATGAATTATTAATGAGTTTTTTAATTAAATTAACATTTCTTTAACCAGCACACCAGGTTTTATTCATTTGTGACATAATATTGTCGATAAAGAAAGCTATATGAAAAACGAAATGGTAAAGCTTGGGGAAACTATCTAGTATATGGTGGTTGGTACACAGTTAATGACAGGTCTATTTTTAAAACAGCCCTATGGGTTTATATTTGGAAAAGCTCAGTTATTATTAAGTGGAGACAGCCGGGGAGAACTGAGACGAAACTAATGACAGCTGCGAAGGAAACTTGTTTTATTATAGGAATGATTTTTACTTTTCAAATTCAGGGAACTTATTTTTATTAAGGCTTAAATTCGGGGATATTTATTTTCATTATGGCCATTTGTTTATCCCTTGGTGTACATGAATTACAAAAATTCATTTGGTCTGTCGAAGATCCTCTTAAACAGCTGACGCCGACAGACTCTCAGCTTTCCAGTAATTTTTAATGAAAGTCCATAACCAGGGCCGGAAGAAAGAGATTTCAATCAAGTGGATGATTGAAATACTTCATTCACGATTAGGATATTAAAAACGTCAATCTAAAACTCTTTCAAAAAGAAATGGTTGTTTGTCTTGACTTCAGGACTGCCAACTTTATTTGCCAATCCGTAACATCTCAATAATTGTATGAATGCCAGAGGCGATAGCTTTCGAAATTTGTTCAATTATGTAGAGTGAACTATATATAGATATTGTTTGTAAACATATACTGATTTATTCCCGACGGATTTAAACGAGAGATGATACTCCCTCCAATGAAATACTAGATGTTTCGTTACAAAACACTTTCCACAACCCGCAATCCTATGTGACTCAGCCCTCTGATAAACCAAACCTGTCCTTTCATCTCGAATAATGCTTTTCACGGTTTGAGTCATCTAAGTTCTTCAGTGTCGTCAAACTAAATAAAATTATCGTTTTTTTCCTTTTATTTTCTATTTACTGTCGTTCTTTTCTGTTTTCTGAATGAGAGGCGGAACCGCTGCACGGCTTTACCTCGATAAAACGATGCACGCTTTTAGGTATTCGTCTACCAACGTTTGACCCACGTCTGAAATCCCATTTGGTGAGAACCCAAATAGAATTAGTGATAGCATTACGAATTTCCCTCATCCTACAACAGTATAAAACAGGATTGATAGACGAACTGATGAAGACTATAGTAGATGCGTAGTCATAAGCTATCTTTACTTGAGTCACGTAGCCTAGGGAAGCTTCCGCAAACATCGTGCATAAGAAGGGAAGATAACAGATCAGGAATACAGCCAACACGTATATCATTGTCGCTGCTGTTCTTTTGTATCGGATCAGATAGATGTTATTTTTGAATGCTTTGTCTTCTGTTGGATGATTTCGTCGGATCATAGAGTTTTCCAAGTCAATGATTTGTGTGTGATGTTGCTTGACGATACAAAAGATGTTGGCGTAAGATGTTAAGGTTAAAACGAGAGCAATGATGAGTAAAACTAAAGGAATTAAAGTCCAATGAGCGTCAGATTGGAAGGAAAACCTTAAAGATACCATGAAAATGCAAAAAATCCAAAAGATGACAACAAGACAGTACACTCGCTTGGCTGTTACGAAAGTGTTGTAGCGAAGGTGAAGACGAAGGGCGAGCAAGCGATCAACAATGATGGAACTGATAGTTAAGAGCGAAACACCGGCGCAAACCCACCCGAAGCAACTCACGATGAGCCTGAAGTAACAGAATATATCTCTCGACTTCAATAACTCGCATACTTTATACAGTACAAAAGAAGTCTGGCAGATTAGTCCAATGATCATATCCGAGAATGCTAAACAACAGAGAAGGATATTAGATGGGGCATTCTTTAAGTGTTCTGAGCGACGGATAATGTACAGAACAAATCCATTTACGAGGACAGCAATTATTGCAAAAAGAGCATTCAATACTGCTGTAAGAACATCTGTAATAAAAGCAGTCTTGCCTTCTATAAAAATGTCTCCTTGAACGAAAAGGCATGTATTATCGCCAAACGCCATCTTACGAGACTTCCAACTACATTCCCATTAATATTCTTTCAGGTGTTCATGCGTCTCTAACAAGGCTTTGGTTGCAATGGAAGTGACTGTTATTTTAGTTTGAAAAGCGCAAAAGATTGTTCAAAACTTGATTCACTTGTATTTCATGCTGTCAAGAATGTGTCATTCGTCATCTGCAGTTATCAAGAGCTCTTGTGCACTACAAGTGTACATTACGCTTTCCTCACATAAAACAATCAACCCTCTAAAAGCTGAAACATGTCTGGTTTACGATTCCAAACCCACCTTTTTTTCATTTTCTAATTATAATTTGCTTTGTTTTCGACTCAGTCAAACCTTAAAGGATTCTAAGATTCGATTCGTTCGGTAATCCCCTTTACTCTTAACAACCCAATCAAGAACTTACACAGTTAGCAATAATATACATTTTTATTGCTAATTTTTTATTCAAGAGAATAATAACTAGTTATTTCTCTACCTTTGATCCCTTTTTTCTATAAGTATTTCTTATTGTTTATTAATTAGTTTTGCGCATCTTGGTCGGTTCACAGAAGGTTCTGGTATACGCCCAGCTGTTTCAGTTCCAGAGAGGTTTTTGTTTATTTATTTAATTTTTTCATTTTATCGAAGAATTTGTTGAAATTCATCAAGGAAGGCTAAGTTCAATATTCGATCTTTGCTGTAATCCAAATTGGGAATGACAAAACGCGTTACAACTATGTTTGTTCTGGAAACAATCAAAGCGGAAACTTCATAAATCCTTTACAGTGAATAAACACAAATTGAAGCCGAAATATTTTAATTTCGCCTTTCGTTATCTTTCTTTGCCGCTATGACCTTCTTCCCCATTTTCATACAAAACGCTATATCGTTTTCTCGGGAACAATTGATCAATAGAGACCTCAAGCACGACGTCCTTGCTAGCCCCTGCAAACTTCAAACTGGAATTGGACGTCAGGCGTTTTTGGTTAAACTTTCGACATTTAGCAAGGCCTCATAATGAAGTGCGTGTTTCTGGGTCTGATTCCTGTCGGCTAGCGGTAAACCTGATGCAAAAGGTCTCTAATGATTATAATTATATATGCAACGCGCCGGCATGATGGAGGCGAAGAACCCAACCCATCAGATAGCTATACCCATGAAGCACTGCGATGAATGAGGCTCTTTACCCACAATGCAATAACAGTAAATGATGATTGATCTACAACCACAATGCACCACGGTAAAGGATTGATATATTCCCACAATGCACTGCGGTAATGGCCTTATATATACCCACAATGCACAACAATAATGCACTGTGGTGAAGGGCGGATCTATACCCACAATCCTTTGGTGTAAAAGACTGATCTGACATTTACAATGCACTACGGTAATGGACTGATTTGTACCCACAATGCACCGCGGAACGACGTAAAGTGCATGAATTTAAGGAGGCCGTGGGTAGCTTTGGTCTGGCACACCTAGGCGCATTGAAACGGCTACAACTTCGTCTTGAATAACTCGATCTGCAAGTGACTTTTCACACAATGTCAGGAAAGGATTAAAGGTTTCAAACATAATAAATTAGTTTAAAGCGGCCTTTTCGTTATGACGTAATGATGACATCATAGAAATCGTTTGCCGCTTATTTTCTCGAAAACTAGACCTAAACTTTCAAAGCGACTTGTACCAGTCGATAGTATTCATCAAGGCATCCAACATATTGCAATATAAAAAAAATTGTAGGAGAGCGTTTTCCAAATATTACGCGATGAATATTTTGATGGATTTTTACTATTATTTCCAGCTTGTCAACTTTATACTTTATACTTTATAAAAATAAGCACGCTCACAACTAACAGCACTCGACAAGGAACTACCCACAGCCTCCTTAATGCATGTGAATTCTTGGCAATAACAAACGTTAAATAACACACCTCCCCAAAACTATTAAAGTTACATGCTGCTTGCTTATCTCTGGCGTAATTTAGATAAATTGCTTTACTATGTGATTGGCAATGTTAGGTTTGCTTCAACTGAGACAACAGCAAAACTTGCACTCGCGCCTTGGATCTCGTCAGTCTTAAATGAAGAATCTTTACAAACTCACTTCTAAATGACTTGTTGAGTACCGCATAGATAAAAGGGTTGATAAAGCTCACCATGCTTCGCATACCAAGGCAGAAAAAATAAACCTTACGATCTAAGGAATACTGCCCGAAAACTGATTCGTAGATTGTCACGACTAAGAATGGCGTCATGCAGAATGTAAAGGAAACGATGACAAGGAACATGGTTCTTGTGATCTTGATCTCGTCTCTGTTGATGACTGAGTTGTTCATGTTCGCGTTATGCGTCTGAACAAACCGCCAAATCTTATAATAACAATACCAGGTGACTTCGAATGGAATAACGGAGAAAACCACTATGGACATGACTAAATGTGCTAGGTTCATCTTATCGTGGTTCATTGTACAAACCATAAAACCTGGATGGAAATTAAACCCGGCTGTGAACCCAAACGATGCCACAATCCCAGCAACTAAGACCCACAATATCACTATAGTAAGAATAATAAACCTGTTGGTGTAAATGCGACGATAGTAGTTGGGGTGGAGAATACGAACAAACCTGTTTATGCTGATTAGACTGAATAGGAACATAGTCCCGATGCTAGACATGTATTCTACGTATCCCTGGAGCTCACACACGCCATCCCCGAGATCCCATTTCCCTCGTATAATAACATAGCAAGCTAGTGTCATTGGAATGATCGCCATTACCATGTCATTAATCGCCATAGATATTATATATATGTAGGTTTGTCGACGAAGGCTTGGATTCCTGAAAGTGGCTGTAATGACTAAAATATTCCCAAACAAACAAAGAAGTTCGTTAGCAATGCCTAAGGTTCCTTCAATGCCGACTGTTTGCTGACTTCTATCAAGCAATTGTGAAGACAAGTGTTCTAATCTTTTTTCGCTCGCTGCCGCCATGTTTAGTGTTGGTGGCTCGACCTAAACCACAGGTAATCCGGTTTTGTCCTTTGCGTTGGACCAGTTGTGCACCGGTACGTTAGAGCAGAAAAATGACTTTCTTTAATGACACTATCCTATTTGTTATCATGAATAATTCGCTGATAAGATTTTCTTCTTTTCTGAAGATGACACTTTTCGAAAAAGTTTTTTAAAACGTTTTAAAAAAGCTTTTAACAAACTTTTACTTTTGCATATATAAATATTTTGGGGGGAAAACATATCCTATTTTTTACTGCTCTTATTCGTTCATCCTGTAACATAACGGACGACGGGAAACAGTTTTTACTTAAATTAACATAGACTAACAACATTGTTTGAATTGAATGAGTACTTAAAAATAAGAAAGAATAATTGATAGCTTTTTGGAGTTGAAAATGGATTTTTCGTTCCATACTGCGGCTTTTGTTTCCGTCTTCACGGTGAGTGAGTAAAGACAGGTGAGCGCTGAGCAAAATTGATSTTTTTGTTTTAGTTGTAATGGATTTATTACCTTGTCACTACAGGAGCACTTCAGCAAATTGTCCTTCCTTTTCCTCATCACGTCTTTAAGTGTTTTCTTTTTTATTCCTCCTAACAGCCAGGTGATCTGACTAGGCGCGCAAAGCATGACTTCCGTGATGGGAAAAGAATCAATCCCATCAACCACCGCACGCTCAATTCACTTAAATAAGACTCGCACCATGCAAAGTCGGTAAACCTAAGAGAAATTCTCTTTTTACCTCAACTGCATTGATTTGTGGTAGTTTGTGGCAAAACGTTTCTTCAAAAATGCAAAAACTTAGTTGGTTTTTATATGGCTGTAGAGACTTAGACTTTTAAAAAAATCACGAACTTTTCACTGAAGTACAAAAGTACATATTAGCTACAAACCGTTTTTTGTTCACCAAAGATTAATTATTTTTTCATTTCGTGTTTTCATTATTTCGCTTTTGCTAGTCTAATTTCCTTTCATTGTACTGTAAATGTTATGGATGTGAGCCCCCTTGTTAAGCTTTACAGCTTTTGGGGCAAATGTTTAGTCAAATATGTTTAAATAAGAAATAAATAAATAAAAGTCGGTAAACGAGGTGTCGTCAAGTCAAGGCAAGGTAAGCGAAAAGAAACACCTGGCCCCAGCCCTCATTTCTAACGGTTATCCTTTTTCTTTCTTCCAGAATGTCAACAACACAAGACCTTCCAACAAGACAGAGCAGTCGCAGATGAGACGAACCGTAGCAGTACTACCTAACGCATGCGCAGAAGGCGTTTTTCAGAACCTACGCTGGTGCCTTCAATATCATGGCATACGAACTGTCTTCAAATCGGAAACTACTGCATAGCTATCTGGTGTGTCCCAAAGACCTAGTCCCACCCGGCAGACGGTGGACGGTACGTGTTATTTACAAAATCCCATTCATTAACACTGAGGTATAACAATACGAAAAGAAGCAATGTTGGGTGTATTTTTGAGAGCAAAAATGTTCACGGGAAAATTATATTCTTACAAGCACTGAAAATATGGCTTTCATGTCATTCTCTTTTAAATGCTTACCAATCATATCAGACGTGACAAACGAGACGTTTCGTGACAAAACAAATCAATATAACGCAATACAGTAAAATTACATTCTTGGGTATCGTTACAGGCACGTGACTGGGTGTGCATTACGTCACCATTCATGAGAAAAGCCAACAATAGCATACCTGGCTATCATCAGCAATAAATCCTGTCATCTACGCCTAGGATATTAACATCTCTCACGAGAACGCATGAACGTGGAATTCTTCAACATGGGTGAGAAGGTTTACCTTGCCGTCTCTTCAACTTGCAGCACAGATAATAAAATCATTAAATAAAACGCCTATTTTTGTCATTATTATTAAATCAATCTTTTCATTTTCAAATAACAAAGGAAACAAAATGGGTTTAAAGAAATTTGACATACGACAAGACCATCAGATAGACACCAAGAAAAAAGATGCCCCAAAAACAAACACCCCAAAAGCCCAAAGAATGAGAAGTTTAATGAATATTGGGTTTCATAGCTTCGGAAAACTTATGAAAATCCCAAAAAAACACAATCCCACTATAGCAATATAATGCAAATCAGTACTAGGAACGCCTGGTCAATATCATGACTTTTACACCAACCGATTAAGCTCAATTTGGAGCATTTTGAGTTGGTGTAAAAATCATGATATTGAACAGG